TTATAGGTTTTCGTTAAAAAATTATTGAGTACTTTTAGTAGAAAAATAATTTTTTTTCAAATAAAAGGAAAGATAATTTTGTTACATTAGTGTATAAACTATCAATATCATAATGATATTATGGAATGTATAAATAATTATAAATTTTTTAACTCTTTTTCTTGTCCAAGTCACTATCTTTGTTTTACATTCTCTCATAATTACATACTTTCTCTTTTATTTTTTTCTTATTTTCTTCCTCCAAGAGTTTAAGAGTTCAACAGTTCAAAAGTTTAAGGGATAAAAATTTTAGATTATTAGATGACGAGAATTTAAAGAACGTCGTATTAACCTTAAATGTCCTTAAGATATAATAGTCGCTCTAATATTTATGTTTTAGATTAATTTTCTAAATAAAAAGTTCTAAGAAAAAATAATACAAATAGAAAATAATACTCTAATCGATATATTCAATAAAAAAAAAGAGTAAATTCTTTTCTAAATGCTTATATTTGTTATAAATAATGTTAATAGTGTTAGATTTTGTTATTAATAACAAAAGAGGTGTGAATGGAAAATAGTGGGAAAAGAAATGGAGGGAAGTGAAAATTTGAATGAGTTCACTTTACTAATGCACTTTGTCCCTCATTGGTAAAAGGAAAGAAAATCTTTGTGTATATATATAGAGAAGCTCATCTTTTAGCTCTTAAAGAGTTAAGAAGAAGGCAAGCCTCGCGCCGTCGCCCTCGCCGCTCGCTCGGCTCGGCTTCGGCTTCGGCTTCGAATTTGGTCAAAGATTGATTGATTAATCTTTTTGGACAAAATTCTTTTCAAATAATTAATTAATTAACGAAAATTCAATCCGGAATTACCCATGACCCGCAACCCGGTCCGGTCCGGTCCGTTTTCTTTCTCAGATTATTTTAAATCCGTTTATTTTTTTCCCACAATATTTCCAACAGCTATGGCTATTCTGAAACAGTGTCAAACCTGTTCTAACAGCTATGGCTGTTCTGAAAGGTTGCAAACCTTTTCAGAAACAGTGCCAAATTGGCTATAAATATTCCTTCAAATCCCAGAATATTTACTTACGAAATTTTCTGATCTTCTTCTTCTTCTTCTGCACATAAAATTCCAGTGTGTTTTACAGCTTTCGAGTGGTTCGTTGTTCATCTGCGTTTTTGGTACCGATACGCTGTTGAGTTAAATCGTTCTATCCTGGGAGAATATATCAGAACCTCGGGTACTTGAGGGGAATAATTTCCTTAAGGACACGCTGTGTATTCACTGGGCTCGATTTATTCCTATACTATTTTCAGAATTTATTTTGAAGTTCATATACTGTTTCCAGAATATATTTTGACGTTCTAGTTACTAACTTTCTGTTTTTGTTTTTTCAGAAAGTTTATTATTTTATTTTACAGCAATACAGTTTTGATAACAAATAGTTCATGTAACAGTTGATTCAACACGAAATTTTTTAAAATAAATTTTTGCTTTAGACCATTAAAGTGCTTGAGCTGCCCCTTTACTTCTGTTGTGTGTCATATCCGAAGTTTAAGCTTGCCTTATGATGAATAAGAACGAAGAAGAGAAAACACGAAATAAATTCCCAAAATAATTTGTATTTTTAAGTGTGTCAACATTAACTAGCTCTTCTTGGCGCATATTTTTCTTTTCGATGAGCTGATTCATTGATCTTCATGATCGCTTGGAAACTATAATTTTCTTAGAGTTTTCTTTTCGTTTAGAGTACTGTAACTTGTAGTATATTAACATTTAGCAGTTAAGCTCTTGGCGGCAAATATTTCTTATAGTTAACAAACCTAAACTAACAACTAATGCCCACCTATCTAATACAACTCCTAAAAAACTAATAATGGAACGACTGGACATATTTTTTGCAAATGAACCTTGGATCAAATTGTACGAAGATGCTTCAGTTTTACATCTACCACGCACTCACTCTGACTATTGCCCACTAATTCTTAACTTACAAAAACCTTTTTTCAAGCCTACCTCTAATTTTATGTTTAAAAAAATGTGGCTTAGCCACCCAGATTTTAAGCATATAGTGTTATCGCATTGGCACTCCAGCCCTTTGTATTTCCATTCACTCAAAAACAAAAAAAGCCTGAACTCCAGTATAACTTTCTTCTCTGATTGGTGTCTTTTTCAGGACCACTTTAATACTCATATTAAAGAATGGAACCTCAATACTTTTGGTAATATTTTCTACAAAAAGAAAATTCTCCTCTCCAGAATAGGAGGCATCCAACGAATGAACCCAAGCAACAAAAATTCTTTCCACTACAATCTAGAAAATATACTAATAACAGAATTAAATATAATCCTAAAAGCTGAGAAAGATTTTTGGAAACTAAAATCTAGAGTTCAATGGCTAAATGAAGGTGATGTAAATACTAAATTTTTTCACCTTACAACTATACATAGACGTAGATGCAACCGTATCCTTGGGCTACTTGATAGGGTAGGTAATTGGACGTTTGATCCTAATATCATTCACAATACAATTATAGACCACTTTCAACTTCTATACACAACTCAATTCACCTCAACTCCAAAATCTTATACTAATTATTACTGTAACGTACTATCCAATGACACACATATAAAACTAACACAACCTCTAACCACCAATGAAATCTACAAAGCAATCTCTTCCTTCCAACACTTCAAGGCACCTGGGCCAGATGGCCTACATCCTTTTTTCTTCCAAAAATTCTGGGAAGATACAAAAATAGCTGTAACTAATATTTGCATAGATACCTTGTCATCAGCTACTATCCCAGATGACCTTAACAAAACATTTCTAACATTGATTCCTAAGGTTCATCATCCTGAAACTATTGCTTAATATCGTCCCATAGGACTTTGCAATAATTTACAAGACAATTACAAAGATAATTGTTAACTGTATTAGACCATATCTATCTACTATTATTAGTCCTGCACAGAGTAATTTTGTACCAGGGAGACGTGCCATTGACAATGCTATCATAGTTCAGGAAGCAGTACACTCCTTTAAAAGGCAAAAAGGAATAATTGGTAACATGTTAATAAAAATTGATCTTGAGAAAGCTTTTGATCGTTTAGAATGATCTTTTATTCACTACTCACTACTTCAATTAAATTTCCCTTCACATTTAATCAAACTAATCATGTCATGTGTCTTAACCTCTACAATATCCATACTAGTCAATGGCAAACCTACTAATTTCTTCCAACCCACACGGGGCATTAGGCAGGAAGACCCCTTAAGTCCTTATCTTTTTATCATTTGCATGGAATCACTCTCCCGCCTGATTAACCATGTTGTCGATCTATTACAGTGGTCACCTGTTAAACTATCACGCAAATCAACACCCCTTTCACATCTACTCTTTGCAGATGATCTAGTCTTATTTGCCAAAGCTATTGACAAAAATGTACACACAATCAACAACATCTTCAACCAATTACATCATCATTCAGGACAACGCATTAACTTCTCGAAATCAAAAATTCTTTTCTCTAATAATGTTCCTGCCCACACTCAAAATAAAATTTCTTCACTACTTAATATCACACCCAGAATTACTTTTGGAAGATACCTAGGCCTGCGTATAACCAACAACACACTGACTTCCACTAATTATTAATACCTAATCGATCAGTTAACTAAGAAACTGGCAGGTTGAAAACAAAATTTCATAACATTTGCTGGCAGAACGACTTCCATCAAGTCAGTCTTAAATACTATCCCCACGTATGCCATGCAAATAAATCTACTCCCAACTAAGACACTAAAACATATAGATCATACTCAAAGAAACTTTCTCTGGAGCTCTTCTCCTGCTAAACAGAAGATCCACCTTATTAACTGGGACAACATTACTACTCCTAAGAGTTATGGGGGGTTAGGTATCCAAAAACTTTACCAAAAAATCTCTCATTATTAATGGCCCTCCTTTGGCGTTACTACAATAATAATAATAACACCCCTTGGGCAACTACTCTATATTTCAAATACCAATCTTATCTCCATCAACCTCACCCTCAATTCCATCATCCTAGAATAAACTCTGCTTCCTACATTTGGAAAAGCATGGCAAAAGCTTAGCCTTCTTTCAAACAAGGACTAGGTTGGAATATAGCCACTGGCAATCAAATTCAACTTTGGTCTGACTATTGGCTACCTACGTACCGACCTTTACGCCATCTAATTCATGGTCCGCTTAATCGCAATGAGCAAAACCTTCCACTAAGCTCAATAATCCAGAATGGCTCGTGGAATCTCCAATCACTTTCCTTTGACATATCTCAATCTCTATTCTCAATCATTCACCATAATTTGTTGAGTCTGGCATTAAGAGATACCGACCAATTCTTTTGGCATTCATCCTCTACCGGACTTTCTCCACCTCAACTGCTTATGCCTTAATAACATCTCCTCCACATAAGGAACAACATCATTCTCCACTCACTTGGATATGGAAGATACATACTACCAACAAAATTAAACATTTTCTATGGCTCATGCTACAACACAAACTACCAACCCTTACCTTTCTATCTAATCGTAACCTTGCTAATGGTCCCACCTGTCCAGTATGCCGACAAGCTCATGAAGATATTCTTCATATATTTTTCCACTACACCATTGTCTCCAACATATGGCATTATTTAAATATCCCTCTTCCCTCACAAATCACTCTAAATTGGATCAAACAACTCTGCCTTCCAACCACCTCTTCCCTTAATACAATTCCCTCCCGTATCCTAGTTCCAATTACCTTCTGGCACATTTGGATCAATCGTAATAATAATATCTTCAATCACACACATGCAAATGTTAATACCCTTAATGTATACAATCAGGCAGCCCAATATTATTACCTAGCTAACGCAGTCACTCAAAAACCCTCGCTAACTACTACAATTCCAATCAAATGGCACCCACCACCCCCAAGGTTTCTATAAGCTAAAATATTGATGGGGCTTTTGAAAAGCATAACCACATGGGAGGGGGGACTGCTGGAGTTTTTCGTAATGCCTCTGGTGCTTGGGTGTATGGTTTTACCAAACCACTGAGACATACCAATATTCTCCAAGCTGAACTGCTAGCCTTATACCACGGGCTACAACTAGAAAATGCTCACAATTTCAGACCTTTACAAGTGGAGACGGACTCTCAAGTACTCCTACACATCCTATCTAGTGCTCCACTAAAACACTCACATATCATTTTTGCATGCAAGTCGATGCTCCGGGATCTCCAGGTGACCCAGATCCAACACACATTTAGGGAAGGCAATGTTGTGGCAGATGTATTAGCCAAACATGGGAAGACAATCAAGAATTTCCAACATACTGATGTTCTCCTTTTTGAAAATCCAACTTATTTTGCTTTACCGCTTTTAGCTACTGATGTAACCAGAATTGTAACTTTTCGTTCAGTTCCAACCCCTGTAACGCACTAGTTATGTTTTAATAAAAGCCTTCTCAGCAAAAAAAAATGAGTTGACTTTTGCCTTTAAACCTTTAGGCGAAGCTGGGGAAGTATTGAATTTGTATTATAAAATTCAAGAACTCCTAGTGTCACAAATTAAATCGAAAGTCCTAGTTTGCATTATTGTCCACATTATTAGAATTTCTGTTAAGAAGTTTTTGTTTTGTTCAAATGTCTCTAGTCAAAGATAAGTATATATATGATGTCCTCTGTGTATTTTTGATAGTCACTTCAACAGAAATTCTGTGCGCAATTGGTGAATCTTTATGTTTGAGCTCCACTATAATTTTTTTTTAAAAAGAAACAGTGTGGCTTCCAATCCCCAATTTATAGCTGGATAAGCAGATAAACAATGAATAACTGCCAGAAATGGGAAGTGAAAGACCAAATATATATATATATATATATATATATATATATATATATATATATATATATGCTCCTGCAATTATGAGGCATCTGATAATTGCACACCAAAAGAGGAAATATGTGTGTTTACCCTTGAAATAGGATAACCATTAAACTTATAATATAGTTTTAAGGGCACGTGATTTCACCTAATACCAATTGATAAATGTAGAGACTAATAATAGAAATCAATAATAGGATAAAGCAAATCAGTGTTTGAACGAAATTCAGCCCTCGAGCTTTAATACCCTCGAACAGATTTGTGCAAGAACAATTAAAATATAACAAGCTGATGAACAAGTATATGAACTAAAGAAAAGGCGTTATATTGCTTTGATATCCCAGAGTGTAAGGTCCTTACAAAATGATTAGGACCCTCTTTATATAGTAGAAGATTCTTATCTATGGTATAATTCTAATTACGGAAGTAAATCCCATGATTAGCTAAACAAACGCCCTTGATTTGATCTGTTCCGAGATTTATGCTTTGAACTTCGACCAGTCACGGATATCTCGCCTTTCTGTTATTGTGCTTTGCTCGATGTCTGTCTTATTTGGTCACGATCGCTACCGGCCTTGATTCGATAGGTACCTCAATCCACGAACTCGATACCTTATCCTCGTGCTTTGGTCTGATCCAACCCGGGGGCACACCATTGATGCAATCTCCTGGCCTCGATCAAATAGTAAAATCGGGTAGGCCCGGTTTTAACCGTATACAGATAGTCCCCTCATTTCTCAGAGTGTAATGAGGAGAAATGAATTGAGCCTTCGATTTTGTACCTCGATATGTCATGATGCCATCCTCGTGATGTAAGCAACGAAAGTGACTGAAACGTCCCGTCGGTTCGTATATCGAGGTATTAAATGCATGTTAGTTATTGTCGGCCATTATTGGTTCTGAACCGTCATCTTCATCCTATAAATGTGCTTTCCTTCTCTTTGCCCAAACTTTACTCTTGATCTCTGCTCTAATCTTCAAAGTTTTTTTACATCCTTTAAGCTTCTGCATAATCTCTAGGTTTCATTATCAACCTTCCCTCAAAACACCAAGCATTATTCTCTTCTTCTTTCTTTAAACTTATACAAAAATGGAAAAAACGTCAAAAATTGTTCCTCAAAAGGAAAATCTTTTTCATCGTGGCCGGCCGGCGATAAAATACCGGTGGAGCCACGCCCTAAGGAGTGCGTTCCCGGGGGGTGTGAACTTACTTCCGACTTCAAAGTCGAGAAAACTTCGTCGGTCCCTGGTCGATGCGAGCAATGTCGAGATATATATGCTCAATAACTAAGGGTGACCTTGAGCAGGTAAAGAAAGATTGTCATTGGGAAGATAAAGAGGTGGTGATTTCGGCCCCCAAAGAAGACATTACTACCCATGTGAAAGGGTTTCTAAGTGTTTACACTTACCCTTTCACGCTGGGCCCTGTCAATCCCGTCATCATCGATTTTTTACGCCAATATCAAATAACCCTAGGTCAGATCCATCCCTCTTTTTGGCGGATTGTCATTCTGCTCCGATTCTTCGCGAGCAAAGTCGAAAGGATGTCTTTCACCCTCGACCATCTCATTAGGTTGCACAGCTCCCGTCTCTATCGAGGCGGGTTAATAAGGCTTCAGCATCGGGCTACCATGGTGCTGTTCTCGAGCATAGATGAAGACAAGGATCAAGGATGGATGGGCCGGTTCGTTCGAGTGAAGACTTCCGACCTATTCCCGACCGAGAAGATGCCATTTCCCGTAAAATGGAATATGAAGCGTAAGTACAATCCCACCTATAGCTTCCATTTACTGCTTTGTTTCCTTTGCTTTTTTAATTGACATCTCTTCCTATGATGTAGCGGTCTATAGGATGCCCGGTGCAATTCCTAACCTCGAGTGATGGGTTCGGAAACTGGCTTCGACCTCTTCGTATGCTGAGCGCTCATGGCGTGATTTGGAAAGTGGCCGATGGGAGGCCAAAATCATGGTAAGCCCCTTTTCACGTATTTGACGATCTTCTCCGAAATGTTTCTTTTCATACTCACTTGATTTCCTTTCATACAGGCCTCGGAAAAAATGTTGTCATGAGGCCCCCGTCCGGGAGGAAGAGGTGTCGCCCCCGGACCCAAAACCGGTGAAGGATAAAAAGAGGAAAAGTGTCTCGACCTCCGAGGACCCAAAGCCCAAGAAAAGTAAGGCTCGTAAGCCGAAGAAAGACACTGCTATCCTGCCTGTGGAGGTAATTCAGCGGCTAAGAGAGGAAGAAGAGAAAAATGAGGACGACGATGTCCGAGCTGGTGGCCCGAGTGAAGAGGACCACCGAGGCCCCAAAGGCCTCTGAGTCGGTGAGGGTTGGAGAAATTCAGCCTCGAACCGAGGGGGTCTCGGAAGAGGACCCGGACAGAGTCCCCGAGTTGTTGGGAATTGAAGATGCCTCCCACCGAGATGAGCAGTCGGCGGGTATGTCTGAAGGGGCCAGCTCCGAGGCCCTTCGAAATGAAGAGAACGCCCCAAGTGATTCACTTGGGGCAATAGAAATTGGAGACTCTCTGCCGCTTCTTTCATTCTCGGAAGGGGAAGTTCGGGAGGCTCAGGCTATGAAAGCCCCTCAGGTAGAAGGTGCCCTCGGAGGCGAGGACCTTTTCCAAAGTTGTTTTGCCGGGTTCGATGATGTCGCTGGCTTGAATGGATTGGACATACCGAGGAGGAGCTTGGGCGAATCTTCCTCGAGTTTCAGATTGGCCAGCCAGTTTCCAGCCCCCAGTGTCGATCCAGAGTGCAAACGGACCATCAATATTACGGTCGCGGAGGATGCACAAGTTTTTTCCGCCCCCGTAGGGGTGTCCAGTTACCTTCAAGGTCTGGTCACCGAGGAAGATCAAGCTCTGGTGGACGAGGTGGGAGCATCATGCCTCTTCAATGAGGCCCAGCAAGCTTTGAATCGGGTAAGCCCTAACTTTTTTTGTTGATGGAGTCTTCATACTTGTGTTTTTCTCTCCTTGCCTAATTCTTTCTCTTCTATTTTTGTAGGCCTCGGTACTTCATCATGAGACTTTCTTTAAGTCTCGAAGAGAGTTGAGCCGATATGAAGTTGAAATTCGAGGTCTTACCGAGGAAAAAAATGCTCTCAAGCTTCTTGGTCAGCAAAAAGAAAAGGAAATCAAAGGTCTCCGAGCTGAGTTGGTCGTGGCCCAGAAAGAACAAAGTGAACTGACCGAGCAGGTAAATAAAGTCTTAGACACTTATGACCTCGGTTTGGGAGTGATGGCTAATGATTCTAATAGATCTTAAACACTCTTGCCTTATTTTTGATGATCTAACAAACTTACTGCTCAGAACCAGTTAGGGAACCTGACTTACTTTGGATTGCTGCAAACTCTAACGGACTCCAATAAAAGATGAACTGCTACAGATTCAGGAGCTAGGAACCAAACAAGGACCTGATGCTCCTGTGGTTCCTATATAGCAGTACAGAGTCATTTGGACACAGCTGGAACTGAAGTGACTGACAGCACTGTTTCTGCCGCACTGCACCACACTGTCAGCCCACTCATTCTCTAACCAAACAAAGTACTCACATCATTTCAAATGATGTGATCAAGATGTACCAAAGGGGCTTTATACAAAAACATCACTGGAAAGGGTTCTATTTCTCATTCAAGCCTCTAGCAAAAACAGAAAAATCATTCTCTCAAGCTTGAAGAACAAGGTTGAACGCCACTACAGACCAGTTCCTAAAAGATTGATTGTTGCTGTCCTAGTTGAGTTGTAACCTTGTTATTGTACTTACTATATCTCCTAAATCGCTTACTTAGAAGCATACTGATTAGGAATTCTCTTGTAAATTCGTAAACTCGTTGAGTTTATGTTGTGACTAGATTTAGTCATAAGGAAAAGTCTTTGTAATGTAGAGTTACAAAGTGGCTTGTGGTGACAACATCACAAGTTAGAAAAAGCCTTTGTAACTAGGATAGTCACAAAGTGGCTTGTGGTAAAGGTACCACAAGTTAGTTGAGTATATCCTTTGCAATCGGAAGTATTGTAAAGTGGCTTGTAATAGGTAAGATTACAAGTTAGTGAAGTTAAA